TATCAATAGCCTCTAAGAGTGCCGGTGCAGGACTGATACCTTGAGCAGATACCATATATCCTAAGAATACAACTTTATTCATAGCAAATGCACACTTTTTACTTTTTAAAGTAAATCCAAATTCATTCAAACGTTTCATTACTTCATTCAGTCGCCTATTGTGTTCTTCAAATGTATAACCAGGGACAATTAAGTCATCAACAAAACATGCAATATCTACATATTTTAGTCCCATTAGTGCCAAATCTAATCCTCTTTGAAAACCTGCTGTAGATATTTTCATACCAAATGGCAAATAATTATATTCATAGAATTTACCACTGGGAGTCACAAATGCACTATACTTTTTGCTCTCCTCAGTAATAGGAATTTGATGGAAAGAGTCATTTAAATCTAGTTTTGAAATGAATTTAGCATTTCGTACAGTTCTTATGCACATTCCTATGTCAGGAACGGGATATGCATCAGATTCTAGGCTATGGTTAACATCGCGAAAGTCGACACATAGACGGGCAGAATTGTCTTTACGTTTGACTAATACGGTCCGAGATGACCATGGACTTTTAGATTCACGTATAATGTTTTTGTCTAATAGTTTCTGTACCTGAGTGTCAATGATTTTCATTGTCTCAAATGATGTACGACTCGGTGCGTGTCGTACGGGTTTGGCATCGCTTTTAACTACAAGACTGTACTCATAGTTTTTAATGTGACCGACAATATTGTCATTAAATTGTAAAAGTTTAGGAAACTTTTCTAACAATACTTTTAACTCTTGTTTCTGAATGTCCGACAGGTGTGGACCGCACTGTACGGCTCCGCCGTTTAAGTGCAACAACTGATATTCAAATGCGCTTTCAGTTTCTGTTTTGTAATTTATATCAGTGTTTATGACATTTATATTTGCATTCAATTCACTTTCAAATACAGAATCGTTTGAGTTTGAGCTCAAATCGATGGACAATATGTTTGAGTCCGAAATCGGCTCAAAAGTGCCTACAATTACACCCGCTTTCAACTCAATAGGAAAAGGAGTGGTATTTATGGCCAACACTTTGAATCCATTGACATTGTCTTTGCATACAGTGCTCTGCAAAGTGAATCCATTGTTCACATACTGTTGATCAGTATTATAGCATAAAATGTTTTCATTGTTAGCATTTTTATGGTTAGTTTTTATGTGTAAAACTGAAATTTGTTTTGCATTCACTATTGTGTTTGAAACTAAATGCAAATTCTGTGCCTTTCCTTTCAATTCATTATTTTCAATACAATTTTGTGTTTCAATCGTTTTATGGTTTTGAGGATCACTACCTCTCGGCACTAAATCTATGGCCAAATGCGATGGCCTATCATTTACAACACTGTTTTCACAATCATTTATGGCATCGCTTTCAATGCATTCACTATTTGCAGTGATCGCTGGCTTTTGTCCCGAGTATACAGTAATTAATGGCTTTTCGCCCGCATTTGCATTCACTGTAATCGGAACTGAATTTATGGCTTGAAATTCACATTTGATCCCAACATTGCCAACAGTTATGGCTTTAGCCTTACAATCAATTTTGACATTAAATTTCTCTAAAGTGTCGATTCCTAAGAGAATGTCTGCCGGAAGTGTTTCAACAATTATTACAGGAATTTCAATGCAATTATTGAATTCTGGATTTATATTCAAATTTACGCGCGTTTCACCAATAGTTTGAATATTACTTTTATCGCAAGATTGCAATTCAGGACCAGAATATTTAGTGATCGGCACCTGCAGTATATCGGCAACACATTTACGTACAAGTGTTAACTCAGCGCCAGAATCAACTAAACCTTTGAATATTTTCCCATTAATTAGGACATCAATTAATATGAGTTTCTTAGCATTTATATTGAAATTCAGGGAAACATTATTCATAACATTATTGTTATTTGAATTGTTTTGCTGGGAATCTGTCCCATCATTCGCGCGCCTATTATTGCCATTTCTCTCATTACTTTGATCACCAGACTGTCTATTAGGGGTCTGTGATGTGCACTGATATTTCTTATGCCCATAATTACCACAATTATGGCATTGAATTTGAGACACATTTCTATTATAATTTCCATTGAAATTATTTCGGTTACCATTGTATTGGTCTCCGTTTCTGTTCACACTTTGATTAGTGTTTTGGTACCCATTTCTACCATAACTACCATTATTTTGCCTGAAATTGCCATTCATTGGGTTACCATTCATTTGAACATTATTTGCAAAGCGATTACTATTTCTATTACTGAATTTTCTATTAAATGGACGTCTATTGAAAACATTCTGTTTTCTGTTCAAATTCTGTGCGCTATTCTTACTAATACTCATATTATTTATTGATTCATTCAATTTTGTGACAGCACTCAGTAGCTCATCACCCGATTCAGGCCTTTTGTCAACTGTTTTCTCAGTACAGTCGCTCTCAACTAAATTCACTTTCTTAGCGCTAGTACTTGCCTCAGACTTTTTGAGCCGTTCATCACCGAGCTCAATTCGCTTCGCATACTGTTTCAATTCCTTCATATTCTTGGGCTCAAAGTACTGTATTTTGGCGGCGATCTCTGGATTCATACCATCCAGGCAATAACTAATCTTTTGCTCAACACTCATTGTTTTGTCTAAATCATGACATAGAGTCTGTACAGCAGTTAGGTATACAATCATTGATTCATTTGGAGATTTCTTTCTTTTACTCAATTCTCTACTAATATGACTCTTATAGTCGCCGCGCAAAAAGTGATTCAAAAATCTCTCTTTTAATTCATCCCAATTCTCGGGTTTAACGATGTCGTCCTCATCGTCCTCTTCCCCTTCATTGACAGCACAGTCAACATTAATATAGTGAAACTCCTCGGCAGCATCACTCAAATAATTGGGAAACTTATCGCGCTTAGCTTGGTCTTCCCATTTCAGGGCTTTGGCCACCCGTTCAAAAATCCGTATAAACTTTATCGGACACTCATCTCTCTTACCAGAAAATACTGGGATATTGTGCTGTCTTGAGCTCACAATTCTATCTGCGATAGCATTACTCATTGTGGACACCGTAACATTCGGGTCCGCTCCACCACCATCATTGTCTTCATTATCAGACATATTTATAAATCATTCATGCACTCATGCATTAATAAAATTCATTCAATTAACAATTCGCAAATTGTTCAAAAATGTTGCCAAAATATTGCCAAATAAATTCAAATTCAATATTGAAATGTATATTTCCTACCATTAGTTTCCAAACATTCAACGCTTTACCAATACTTTACCCAAACGACCAAAAATGACCACCAGTTTAGCCAATATTAAGCCCAAATTATTACAATTATTAATTCAATTCTTCAATTCACTCGCATTAGTATAACCGCAGAAATACTCAATGCCTGCCAGTCGTTGGTAAATATTGTTTATAAAGTGTTGCAATTGTTTGTTCAAACTTTTCACACAAATTCATAAAATTGTTCAATATTTTCAATCATTGAAAATACCCCATGAAATGACACCATTTGTCAGGCCCGAGTGGTAAGGCTTTTGGGTATTACTTATATTAACTAAAATTACTTTTAATCATAAACACAATTCAAATACTGGCACACAATCACACATTCAGTCACACATAAAGTCAAACACCTTTTGGCTTAAAATAAAGTTTTATTCAAAATCAGTTTCAAAATAGAGATGAGATTTAAAACTATTGAATGTGTATTCAATGAGTGGTGTGGAGAGAGTGGCGAAGAATGTCCGGTGCTTTCAAACTATATCTAAACTCGTGTTTAGCCCTCACTATGCCTTCGCTATGCATTCACTGTCCCTTCGCTGACCCTTTTATGAGGGGTTGGGGTTCTGTCCCTCTGTTTGGACACTAAAACTAAACTTCTCTTTGATCTTAACTTTTGGGCGACAATCATATAAATGGGTTTCAAATCTAAATACTAAACTAAATGTAAAATATAAGTCAGGATTGTTTCAAAGCATGACAGTTTACACGATTTTCTATGTGTTTTAATTTAGGACTTTTAATCAACAAAACATCAAAATCATTGTCTTTGAGATCAATGTCTTGACGGCAATGAATGACAAGCATTTGCAGAGCCGGTAGTCTTGAGATGTGAGACAAACAGTTGTGAGTTATTGTATTCGACAGGTATTGAAGTCGTGGCCATTGATTATCGCAATTATTAAATACATTGTGACTAATTAGCGTATATGCTTAAATTAACAAGTAAATCAATAAACAGTGAATTGTTTGTGAAATACCTGTTGTTTGTTATCTTCATTGCTCTCATCTCTGATCTCGAGTGATGTCATCAAGTGTTTCATCTATTATGATATAACTTGGGATCAAATGAAGTGATTGCTTCAATACTTAATAAAAAATTGAATTGAATAAAAAAAATATATTTTGCAAATGTTAACGATGTTGTTTTAATTTTCAAAACTAATCAATACTTATAAAAGTTATAAAGTACACAAACATTTTATAATAAATATTTTATGAAATTATTTTTATTAAAATATTAAATTAAATAATTTATAATTGAACTATTTATAATATAAATTAAGTTTTATATCAATAAATTTTATAACTGCTTTACATGTTCACAGAATATGACTAGTAATATTAGTATTGGGATTGTTATCCCTTATAATAAGGGATAACATGTTATATAACCAAACGTTAGCATTGCATGAGAAATGTGAAATGCTTTCAAACAAAAGGTAATATTTTTAATATTTCAAAATTATTTGCTCTAACGTTAAAGCGAAAGAACTCTCAAATAACGTCTATTGCCTTCATTTTAAAGTATTTGCCTTTTATTTTGAGATGAAATCAAAAACATTTGTATAAATATATTAATTATTAAATTAGAATAACTATTTTAACACTAAATCTAACACATTTATCAGTTGTATCGCTAAGTTTATGAATTAATAATTAATTTACATAAAAACTAAATTAAATTCAACGATAAATGAAATGAATGCAAGACATGAAGACATAGATCTGATCGACAATTGTCTACATCTGGGGAACCGTTTGGTGGCGACCGACGTCTGCAAACTGTTCGCCCGGAAAATCACTGACGTGTTGACCGTAATGGACGAACCCATAGACGTCGACAAACGCATCGCCGGAATCCGTTACCATCACATCGACGCCGAAGACAACGCACGTCAGGATCTGTTGACTCATTTTGACAACACATATGATATAATCGACGGCTGCCGACAGTTGGGACACTCCGTACTCGTGCACTGCCGGGCGGGCGTCTCCCGGAGCGCCGCAGTCGTGATCGCGTATTTGATGCGCAAACGGCAGCTACCATTTCACGACGCCTTGGAGTTGGTTCGCAACTGTCGACCAATCATACGTCCAAACGAAGGCTTTATGGATCAGCTCCGGCTGTTTGAGCGCATGGACTACCGGTTGAACGCTAACGATCGGCAATTCCGGCAGTGGTTGTGGCGATTGTGCGCCAATCGGGACCGTCTGGACTATTACTACGAGCGCCGAACAGTGGCCGAGTGGATGACCCCCGGCCTGCATTGGGGTCAGCAGTTGGTGTGCGCCGACTGTGAATTCGCACTCTTCTCGCAGATCCATATTAATAGTGACTTCGATGAAATGTATGGGTCGGGTGCGGCCCCAGTGACCGGATTGGTTAACAATCAGCGGATATATATTGAACCCAAAGAGTGGATGGCCGAGTTATCAGCCCCCGACCATTCATACGGTTTCATTAAGTGTCGCTGCGATGCCATTGTGGCCGAGTATGAGCTGTTGACCCCCTATGAAGACCCTTTGGTGGCCAACCCGTTGTCGTCTAAACACCAGTGCTTTAAGATCCGTGTGTTTGACAAGAGTTTTAAGTTTGAAAATAATTCACTATTTATTTTTGATACGAATATACATACACTGCGTTCCAAAAGAATTTTACCAAACGTTTGGTAGTAGTACAGAGATACTACTTGAATTAGATCATCAAACTTTTCACTGTTGTATAATTTAATTATCCAGTTATTAATCGCACGCCGTATTTATTTTTTATACCAATATATTATAAATTGTGATTTTATTCCTTTTAAGTTATTTAATTCTACATTGAATTACACAATGTATTACATTTATATTCAAACTATTAATTAATTTGGGAGATTAAAAAAATTAAAAATTAATTTAAAGTTTATAGAATTTTACAATTCAATAAAATAATGCTTTAAAAAATAAATTATGTTTTTATGCATTTAGAATATGTGTTAAAATAAATAATATATATTGAAATAAAAATCTTCTGATTCTATGCCATAGAAACAAATCTACGAATAAATATAAAAAATTAAAATTATATTACTTTGACCAGAAAAATGATTATACGAGACAATTGTATTGATAGTTGTAAATAACAAGTAATATAATGTGATATTCTTATAGTTTATAAGTTATAAATGGTATCGACGATCATAGGGTTAATGAGAGGACAGACATTCAGGGATCAGATCACGGATACCAAAGGGGGTAACCGAAGGGGTATTCGAACAGTAATTATAATTTTAAAATATTTTTCGGCAATAAATCTTTGAGACATTGTTTACATGGATTTCAATGAGTTTGAGTTTAGGTCTTTCGGGGAACAGATTTTCGATATCAATATTATTATAATTATTATAATAACGGCAGTGAATGACAAGTGTTTGCAGTGCCGTTAGTCTTGAGAGATAATCCAAATAGTTTATGTCAATCGTGTGATTTTCCCTATGAATGCATAGGTATTGAAGTAGTGGCCACTGTTCGTCAAATTTAAGCGTTAAATTATCTTTAATTTCATTTAAATCAAGTGTGAAATGTGTTAATCGGTGGCAGAGTTTCAACGCTTCCAAAGAGTTCTGATCGATGGCCGCAAAGAGTTTTAAATGTAATCGTTTTAATCGGGAATAAAATCGCAATGAATCCAATGACTTGTCATTCATATCCTTAGACCTGGAGTTCAATACGAGTGACAATCGTTTCAATTGTTTGCAATTCACACCAATTGTACGCAAGAAGTTGTGCACAGAGTTGCCGTCACTCATAAAATCAAATCCGAGACTTAATTCCCGTAATTGTGTTAATCGTGACAATTGTCCGCACATTTCGTTCAAATGGCTAATGTTATGTACAATAAGACATCGGAGGGACTGATTCTGTGTCACAAATTCAGACAAATGTTTTTTGCTTTTATCGTTTGGTCCAAAAAAATTAAGAGATTTTAATTCAATTTTTTGTAAATTTTTCGCCAATAGTCCGGAAGTGTTATCGAAGAGAATATGCAAATAACGGACACTTAATTGTGACAATCGGTGGAAATGAATGAGTGATTGTTGCAAATGAAATTGTGAGATTGGTGTTAGACTTGCATTAGAGACTCGTGTGAACAGCGGTCCTAAGCGTATGAGTATATGTGTATTGATTGAAAAAAATAACAATAAATCGGAATCACAATAAATATCCCTTAAATGCCGGCAATTGTCTCGAAATGTGTTCAACACTTCGAGAATATATGAATCATATCTATGACTTATTCTTCGACAGTCAATGGTCTGAATGTTTGGACACTTTAAGATAATTGTGGCCAACAATTGTGTGTCAACTAATTTTCCGCACATTATTTTAATCATAAATTCATTGCTAAAATTGATGTCCACAACACTCTCGAAAACTGTCCTCTGGAACTGTTTGGACACACATTCACATCGAAACCGATCTCCGAGTGAGAGATGGGATAATATGAGTCCATACAAATCATCACCGAATCTGTCCATTGAGTTCTTCGCATAGATTTGTATCTAAATTTTTAAATAAAAATATTTAAGACATTACATAATAATATAATATCTGTATATATCTGTAATAAACAGATCAATTGTTTGTGAAATACCTGTTGTCTGTTGTCATCATTGCCGTCATCTCTAGACTCGAGTGATGTCCTCTTGTGTTTCATCTGTTGTGTCATGTCTTGGGATCAAATGAAGTGATTGTAAAAATACTTTGAAAAAATTAATCACATTTTAAAAATAAAATAATAAAATGTTTAAAAGTTCTGAAAAACTAATCACAATTACTTGAAACACAAATTCATTAAGTTTTATAACTAATTATAACTAATACTATTACTATTAGTTATTTATCGGATTATCATTTATATGAATTAATAATTATTTGTAAAAGTACAACAGTAAAATACTATATTATACTCTATATACGAAGTAGTATAAAATGACCTAATATTACAAAACAATGATTATATAACCAAACGAAAGCATTGCGTTAAAAAGTGTAATATTTTTAATCATATTCACTGAAAAAGGGGTTCAAAATGTGTTTTAAGCGCAGAAGCGGTTGAGAGAGTGTTGTGGACATCAATTTTAGCAATGAATTTATGATTAAAATAATGTGCGGAAAATTAGTTGACACACAATTGTTGGCCACAATTATCTTAAAGTGTCCAAACATTAGAGAGAGAGAGAGAGAGAGAGAGAGAGAGAGAGTCTGAGGTCCAGTGTTTTACTCTACAGTTTAAAGGGTACAGAAAGTTGTCTCTTAAGACTTAACTCTCATATACTGTGTGTTTGTCTCAGAGCTTGTGATCAATGCCTCGATTTGTGTTTCCATTCGCTATAATATATGAAAACTTATTTCAAATGACTTTCACTCAACACTTCGTCCCATAAATTAAATTATTAAATATTATTGAAATTATTATATTTTTGTAAAAATTGTATTTTTATAATAAATCTCATAATTATTTATTCAAATCGAATCTTGAAATTAAAATATTTATTAGTATTTCTCAAAAAATACAAAATATTTTTAAATTATATAAATTTAATTGTCATTTTTCAGAAATATATTTTGATTATATGTTAATTTGATTAATTATTTATAGTATTTACAATACAGCTAAAACATATAGTTATAGGACAATACGAACTTCACTCTACATTGCAAATAAACACAATACGATAGAATAGCTGTAATAATATTCCACTTTAAAAATTATTTGCATTCGTTGAATAATAATTAAAAAATAATAGTTACTTAGAAATTATATACATTTCTGTAAAATATAACAAAAAAAGTTAATAAGTCTGATTAATGAAAAATACTCTTTAAAAGCATTTTCAACGATTGAAATATTATTTCAATTTTTAGAATAAAATTTTGAAACATTATGTATTACACGAATAGAAATATTTTTAAGCTTCACATTTGTTTTCAACAATTTTTCAAAATCATTATCTTTGATATGATTTTCAAACCCTGTCTTAATTTCAAGCGTTTGCAGCGCCGATAGTCTTGATATGTGTGACAAACTCTCGGCACTTAAATAATCGCATACAATGGACAGGTGTTGAAGTCGTGGCAAATACTGAACATAATTATCCAAAATATGGTCAAAAACTTGTTGGATATTAAGTGATAAATGTGTTAATTTATGACAGAATCTCAACGGCATCACCAATTGCTTAAACGGCGTGAAATACTCCAACCGTTTTAATTTCGGATAACAACTCAAACAATCCATTAAATTGTTATTAAATGAGAAATCCGGACAAATGAGCCATATTTGCAATCTTTGCAATTGTTTGCAGTTTAAGCCAATTGTGCGCAACATTTCATTCAATAAGTTTTGATCACTCATTAGTGTCAACATAAGTCTTAAATCCTGTAATTGTGTTAAACGTGATAATTCTCCGCACATTTCGGTCATTGTTTTGTGAGTCTCAGGCATATCGACACAAATTGTCAGACATTTAAGGGACTGATTCTGTGTCACAAACGCAGATAATCGGTGGTAATCTTGGGTCGAGTGATACTCAAAACTAAATTCACGTAAATTCCTAACCATTAGGGGCTCGTAATAGCCGTCGAAGACGTGGCGCAAGAATTTAAGCCATAATAGAGATAATCGGTGGCAATGGATGAGCGCTTGAATGTTAATGTCGTCCATTCGGGCCTTCAATATGTTATTATCGCTGGAATTAAAATAAAAGAATTTTTTCCGCAAATTTTCGGCCAATAATTGATCGGAAGTGCCGACGAAGACATCGGACAACGAGTAGACACTTAATTGAGACAATCGGTGGCAATGAATGAGTGATTGATTTCCAATTATTTGCTGCTGACATCCGTTCCCTGCGATCAGTCGTCCAAAAGTGCGGTAAAATTGTTCACTATTTCCCTTTAAATTGCAGTAAATATCCCTTAAATGCCGGCAATTATCTCGAAAAGTGGTCAACACTTCGGGAATATATGTCTCATATCTGTTGGATATTTCGCGAAAATCAATGGTTTGAATGTTTGGACATTTTTCTGGAACCGTAGCCAACAATTGGCCGTCAATTCTATTCGCATTCAGTAATCTATTAATAAATTTATTTGTAAGAGTGATGTCCACAACACTCGTGAAGACTGTCTTCTGGAACTGTTTAGACACACATTCAAATCGAAACCGATCTTCGAGTGAGAGATAAGACAATAAAAGTGCACTCAAATCATCACCGAATCTGTCCATTGAGTTCTTCGCATAAATCCTAAAAAGTTAAACAAAAACAATGAAAACTCAATAAACAGTGAATTGATTGTGAAATACTTGTTGAATGTTGTCTTCATTGCCGTCATCTGTGGTCTCTAGTGTTGACTTCAAGTGCTTCATCTGTTGTGCCATTTCTTGGGATCAAATGAAGTTATATTGCAATAAGTTTAGCATTATTTCAAAAATAACAATTATAATAAAACTTTTACTGTTTGTTATACAAAATCACATAATATCTTAACAGATAACATGTTATGCAACCAAACGTAAGCATTGCGTAAGAAATGTGAAATTTTTTATAACAAAGGGTAAAACTTTGCGCCACATTTTCGGAGAGAGTCTAATCGTCTAATATAGACCTACAGTATTAACAGACTCATAGTATGAAATGACCTAATATTACAAAACAGAGAATATACTGTATAACTTGCATCAGAAAAGTGTAATATTTTTAATTATATTCACTGAAAAAGGTATTCAAAATGTGTTTTAAGCGCAGAAGCGGTTGAGAGAGAGAGAGAGAGAGAGAGAGAGAGAGAGAGAGAGAGAGAGAGAGAGAGAGAGAGAGANAGAGAGAGAGAGAGAGAGAGAGAGACTGAGGTCCAGAGTTTTACTCTACAGTTTAAAGTGTTCAAAAAGTTGACTCTTAAGGTCTAACTGTAATACAATTGCATTCATGTTGTCGTGGCTTTGAATTCGGGTTATTTGAAAGCCACATTATATTTTAAAAATCTAACTTGGTACGATTCTGGACAGTCGTTGAATTTTAATATTGGCTATTTTAAAATTTTGTTAACCCTTCTAACTTTGTGCAATGGGAGGGCTTTTTAACGCATGAAATGGTATACTATTAATAATATTAATCTTGTTTGACAGATCGCAAATCTAAAAATGTACTTTGTGTTTAATGAACTTGAACATCTCGACGTGTTGGTTTTTAAAATTGATCATGTAAATTGTAATAGGGATGGTATTCTTGTAATTCAACCCCCTTTTGATGCAAAAACAATTTAATTTACAGAACATTATTGTAATAATGATATTATTTATTCAAATTGTGGTTAATATTTATATCTAAAGCATTGACTTTTAGGTGACAAAAACCAG